AAACAGCAAAAGCATTTCTCTAAGCTCACAGGTTGTCCAAATGAGACCTGCCATACCCAACAATTTAAAGGAAAAAAATAACGAAATTTTAGAATCTGTTTACAGATTTTCTCACATATATACTTAATTTTTTTTATAATCTGCCCCATTCCCAAAATACTATGGCAGGCATTCAAAGCCAAACTATAAATAGCAATACAAAACTCCAAGTAAATTCATTATAATAGGCACTACCATTCACTGGGGACAAAACCACACTGAAATAAAACAGCTCTGAATTGTTTCTTTACAGAATAGCTATTGAATGTACATCTGGGGGAAGTGTTCCAAAGATTGGGGCTAACATGAAGAACGACTTCTAATTCACTGCCTTTCACACCTGGAGAATATTTTCAGAAAGGGTACTCTGGATGACCAAGTTGAACAGACAGAGCAAGTTCTAGTAAAGTGTTGCCTATTCATATTCTAGTAGTCTGCTATAAGGCTATAAAGGTGATAACCATACAGTGATTTAAAAACTGATGTGATTTGTGATTGGTTGGATACACCTATAAAAACACATGTGGATATAAATAAGGTTATAAATAAACTCTGGCAGCCTCTAATGTTGTGCCCCAGGGGCTAAAAATATTATCCTTCCTGACATATGCAGTGATTACTCTATCACTACAAACAGCACTTTATCTAGAGACAAAATCAATTTATCTTTAAAATACTATCAGAAATGCATTGTGCAATAGTAACTATAATAAATAGCAAAACCCCAAATACTCACATCCTGTTGAATAATTATGATATCTTCACCATTTTCAACTTGAAGCTGAGGAACTATTGGGAGAGCATCCTGAGATGCTGACATGGCCATGGCAATAGCTAAAGCTTCCTCTTCTTCAGCTTCCATCTTTTCCTTGCATTTCTGATTATGATTCACATCATCTTTATACGTGTTATCATTTTCTGCACGCTCAGGAGACAAGACAGCTACTTCAGACTTGAATGTGACAGTTCCGTCACTGGCTGGAGCTTCAAGTAAGTCTTCCATACTAGAACTGAGTTCTGCATTAATATCCAGTTGGCTACGTTTTTCTTCCACTGGGGTGAAAACAGTATCTTCACTTGGTATAGCTGTACTAATACTATTATCACACGGTGATATGTGGTTTAAATTAAGCGACATGCTATTTTTGGAGGTTTCCCCCTGTTTATTCACATCACACGGTGTAGGTCGAGATGGCTTTGGCCTATGTATATGACTGAATGGCAGAGGCCTGGCCTGGGTAAAAACAGGGGAAAGCTTTTCCAATTCTTTTTGTTCAGCACAGTTTCTTTGAATCTGGAGAGAGAGCTTCCGCTGCATTTGAGGAGAAGCCGAAGGTATTTTACAAGGAACAAATCCCTGAGATCTGAGTTTAGGAATATCAGTTCCTGCAGGTACAGATGGGGTAGAGGGGGAAGGCAAAATAGGGAATATATTTTGGGAATGACCGGGTGAGAGAGAAGAGTTCAAGCATTGACCAGGGGATCTGCTTTTTGTCTGAATGGCTGGCTTTGGCTGTTCTGTTGTTCCTGACAAAACAGGAAGTCCCAATGAAATACCAGCCATTGTGTCAGAAATGTCCTCCGGTGTAGCACTTCGCTTTTTATTATCTAGTCCTTTCCCACTTTTACCTGTGAACTGAATTGTGTTATTTGGAGTAGTATTCTCCGTCGTCTCTGGAGAGTTATCAGGAACTGGAGGCTGTGCAAATTCATGCCTGCATTCCCCAGAATACCTTTGCTCCATGCCTAACTGGATGGCTTCTGCAATTTCCATTTCATCTGCTATAGCCATCAATCGCCGACGCATTCTTGTATGATGTATTGAGCTTGTCATGCTCAACATTTCTAACAGTTTTACAAATACTTGGGGTACTCTTGCAACCATTCTGGCAGCACTTAAAAATATTCTCCGAGACAATTTTCCCACCATCGAATGGGAGTTGTCAATTGACTGCAGCGCAAAGCTCAGTAGAGATAACAGCTTTTTATACCTAAAAATGAATACAAAGCTGTTAATTTCCACTTATTTTTCTGAAATATCTTTTTAAATAATCAGCATTTCAAGAGAAAATTGTTTAAAGACAGATTTTAACATAAGACTTTCTAAACCAGCTAGCATTTTGATACTAAAGAGCAACTTTTTTAAAAGCAAGTTTTTCTAAATTACCTGTCAATAATAGCATCAACTTGTAAAATATCTCCACTGACAATGTGGGGATAAAATTCACCAGGAAATTCTAACAGCAATCTATCTATAAGACAAAGACGTCCAAGTAATGCTTGCCAGTTGTTTGATTCAGATTGTGTCCCAAGGATGCAATTTAAGACAAAATCAATACCGCCAATGCCAATGGACCCTGCAAGAAAAGATTAAATAAAGAATTAATGGAATTGTATTATTTGAACTGGCAATTGGAGTCTCTTATAAGCCAGTTTCCTACACATAAAGTTGTTTTATGTGAACTAATTCTAAGTTTCTAAACTCATTGTTTTTTTTTAAAAAAAGTGTAATGAGCAGATTTCGGATTTTCAAAATAAAAGATATTGGATGTACTTGAATGTATCCATATTGCCATTCCTTCTGATGGAAACTTGCATATAAAGTTACTCGTCGCAAAACTATTCCAAAGGTGCAAATGCCATTAGAAGGATTAATGCTATGATCCATCACATATTAAAGAGACAAAAACATTAAAAAAGCTGTTCATTCTGTATAGAATTCAATAAATCCAGATACAATCACTCAGAATTTTAGTATTGCCATCCTTTAAAATTCACACAAGGCTACATACACATGCATATCAAGTTCCCCAATTACTACACCACCAAATTTGTTTATACTTATTTTTTTTTTTCATTTTCTTACTCTTATTCCAAATTCTTCTGCCCATCTACTATTATTCTTTGAGCAGTATCCATTCCAACAAGATTTTATTTTCACATCAATTATTCTTTTATTGTATTTAAAAACAGTACATTATTTATTTGTTAGATTTTTATTCCACTTTTTTCTATGTTTCTCCCTCCTCCTGTTTTCCTATACAGCAACAATCTGGTGAAGGAAGTAGGGTCAGAGTAAGTACTTCATGGCTAAGGATGGTTCTCCTTTTGTAGTTTTTTCCCCCTGCATAATATTTATAGCCTATAGCCTACATCTTCCATTGCAAACTAGTTTGTTATGTTTGCAATTACCAACATGCTAGTTCCTAAAATCCTTATTATGCATATGTAGAGAATGTTTCTTATACATTTTTTTCTTTCCTCCCTTTAAAAGCAACTATATTCTCTTTTACTTTGTTCTTCTTTATTTCTATCTATTCCTACTATGAATTCCTCTTTATTGACAAAACATCCCCTATGCATTATTTTATTTCTTAATATATCTTGCAAATATCTGAGCCAGTCAAATACAAATCTCTATTACATTGAGATTTTTATAAACAGCATTTTGAAAAATTAATATAGCTGTTTATTTGTTAATTGATGTAAAAATTATGTCCAGCCCTTTTTACTGCCAGATTTTCAAATTTCAATTAAAGTTTAAGTATCTATAGCATTCACTCCATTTTATTGTTAATCTTAAAAGCCTAAGTGAAATTTGATTTAGTTGGAAAATAACAACAGAAATATGTAGAAATATCACAACACCATATTAAACTGCCAAATTGATTTTATGTGTTCAAATAAATTGCATTTTCAAATAGATTTGGCAGATTTATATGTGTACATATCTTTTAAACTAAAAATTCAAACCAAATCTCAAATTGCTGTAGGCTAGCTCATACATCTCTAGGAAGTAGTACTTATAGAGTGCACGTATTCCTTAAATCCATTTGGACACTTGGTGACTACATGGATAAGTTCACAAAATTTTATTGGCGACATTTTCTGAAGCAGTTTGTTCTAGCCTTCTTTGTAGAGCTGAAAGAAATTGACTAACCAAAGACACCCAGCTGGCTTCATACCTAAGGTGGGACTAGAACTCAGTGTCATAGTTTCTAGTCCAGTGCCATTAACTGCTACACTATATTGGTAATGTTGCTTAAGTAAGAAGAAAATGAAGTTTACCAGACTTAAGTATTTCTCGACCAATTGCCAACTCTCCTGCTTGACCTTTACACATTTCCATCAATGTTGAAACTGACAGTTGGCTTGTGCGGCTGTAAAAAGAAGAAAGAAGTCTCTGTTTTGTAAAATAAAAGGATGAATAAAGCTCAATGAATACATTATAAGTAATTGTCACTGTTCTGTTAACAAAGTAATTCATTTTGTTAAGAACCATAAGATTGCTCAACAATCACACCAGAGCATGCCAGGATTGCAGTCATTGAACAAAGCAGTTACGTGACATTTCACTTAATAACTGTTTTGCTCAGCAATGGTGATTCTGTCCCAACTGTGGTCATACAATGAGACTACATGAACCTTTTAATCCTGGTTTATTATTTATTGGTAGTAATTCCTACAGAAAAATTTAATGTAATATATCAGTACCGTAGTATGTAACAATATCATGTTAACATATTACTTCTTTCTAGTTTATGTTTTTTTATAACAGTTTTCATTTTTTCAGCACAAATATGCATTCATAAAAGAACTGCATGCAAATCTGTCCATATACCATAAAACTAATACAGACAATCTTGAAGATAGTAATCTAAAATATTTAAATAGATTAAAGCCTATACCTGTTGGGATCTGCACATTTCACCAATATGGTTTCCACAACTGGTTTTAAAAGCTGTTGCAGTTTTGTCCTCTCTGTTAGGCTATGGCAGGGAGTATATACCAGCATGGCTCTCAATGTTTTCTTAAAAAAAAAAAAGGAAGATAAATTTTTTAAAAAAAACCCTGCATACATTTCTGCAACCAAAAGATGAACACAAAATAGACCAACCTATACAAACATAATTTTATACACAAATTGCTTCTGCCTACAAATCTGTCAATTGTAAAACAATACACCTTTTTGTCATTTAAAGATTCCAAACAAATATTGACATTATCTGCTAAACCAAAAGGAATAGTTTAAGGGGAAGTTACAAGAGTCTACTAGGAAAAGACAAAACCAATTATCAGCTTCCAGACTTTTTGGAGAAATCTGCTCCCAAATGAATGAACTAAAGATAGATTCAAGAACTGAATAACATTTAAAGTAAAAAGGAAGTAGTGACATTTATCTTTCATATATACATGCAACTTAACATTGATAATCAACTTATTTAAGGAACTGATTTCAACAATACTGCAAAGCAAGAGTACTTCAAATATTGTGCTAAGAATTTGGAAATAGAAAAGTTGGTTCCACTGTGAGTCTTTGATGATTATAGTAACAATTCTTATTGTTTATTGTTTTACACAGAAAAAGCAAAACAATAAACATGCAAAAATATTACAGGACTTCTCAAGTCACTCTACAAATACAGTATATAATAGTTAGTATGGAAATTATTCAAAATATTGCATGACTTTGAGCAGTGGTCTGAATCTTGCCATTAAGAATGATTAATTCGAAAAACAAATATAGAAATTTTCTGAGAATCAGATTGGTTCTATTTCCATTCCAGGAGGACAGGGAAAAAATATTCTAAACAAGCTGCTCAAGAAATAGGCAAAGTAACAAATAATGATGTTTATTTTCTATACTGCTTTATAAGGAACCTTTTTTTAAAACCAGCTATCAAGTACAGTTGATGTCCTAAGTGCAATATTGACTGTTTCCTTTTGCCCATAAAAAGGAAATACTGTATATTTAAAATGATGTTCACATTAAATTTAATATAGTCTAGAACAGGGGTGTCAAACTGCCGGCCCGCGGGCAAAATCGCGCCCACCCCATTGCCGGCAATGGCAAAAAAGTCACGATACGTCACAACATGTCATGTGACGTTGTGAGTTTGACACCCCTGGTCTACAAGAACTTGATTTGTATGGAAATATATACATTTCAGAGGTGAGAATGGAAAAAGGAATATTTCTAGAATTACTGTGAATTTTTAACAATTTGTTTGGAGGGTTTCTGTCTCAAGTAAAAAATTCATATCTCAAATATGCTGCCCTATTTCTAAATTCTGAATATGATTTAGAAAGGAAGATTAGAAAAGGATAAATTACTTACTAAAGCAGCAACATACACTTTGTACACAGGGTCAGCACAAACCATAGAAAGTACACTGCAGCAGGATTCCACAACAACATCTCCTGAGATATTTGTCTGGGATGACCCATTAGCTGCCCCTAGAGTTCCAGAACCTGGGGTGTTTCCACTGCTATTTCCAGAATTTCCAGTACTTTCACCATTAGCCAATAATAGAGCACCACTAACATCATGGGAGAGACGTCGAAGGGCCATCTCACGTATATTCCAGTTTCGAGAAAACAGGCAACCTACTAATTCCATTCCAAATACCTAAAAATCAACATTACAAAATCAACATTATAAGGAGATCCTGATTACAATTACATATTTACATGTATAATATAATATAATACACTTATATTATACATGTATAGTATAATATAATAATGTACACTTGAAATAAGCCATTGGAATTCTTGTGACATAGACTACAAAGGGATGTACTGCATGTTTTTAAGAATTCTTATACTTATACTTATTTTCAATATGTATTGTGAAGCAATGCAGATTAACAAGATCAGATTAATATTGCACTAAACGTTATTTGGTAAAAAGAAGATGCAGTGACAGGCTGAAATAAAATGTACTAAGCAATTTAGTTCATTAAAAATGCTCTGAAGTAGACTGAATAGATTGAAGTTAGAATGCAAATATTTTCATTTCCATTCTCCAAGGTTGGGCACAATTAATGCGGCTATTGCAGTTGTCTACCATTCAAAAATATGTTTGGACTCTAGACCGCCAGAACTGGACAAAGAATTCACTGCTATCAAGCAGTTTGAAGTATTTTATAGTAATACAAGATCTGGTCATAGTAGCACATCAACCAAATTAGAATAGCTACGTATCTCCAAAGTCCTTAACAATAGTTCACCATGGTTTTAGGAATAATTAGAAATGACTAATAATAAGACAGAAAAATAAAGTGAGAAGGCAAGAAATTTAAGTCAAAGGAATTTAAAATTGGCAACTAAAAGCAAACAACGTAAGATGTAAAATCTTATTAACTCTTGATGATATAAGATAGAAGGCTCGACTGCAATAGCTACTCATGTCACATCTAGATGAAGGACATCCAGACAGAGCTTCAGCAGGGAGCCTTAGAAGAAATTACTTATGACTTATGGCATGTCCGGGATTGGCAACTGGTCATCTTTTCACGATCACAAAATTCCATGGTCACATGACTGCAATTTGTGACTTTTTTGCCAGTTTCTAGCAAAGAAAAATGCTTAATGACCACTGCGTTCACTTAACAAATTTGCAGTGAAAAATGTTAAGAAATAATTCCAGTCATATAGATGCGTCAACTTATGACCATAAAAATTTACACCTGGATTTCCAATCCCAATTGCAACTGTAAATCAAGGACTATTTGTAACTGTCTTGACATCTTCCATAGACATTTACTGTGTATTCATTTTGTAACAGTCTGGAAAAACAAGCTCTTGGGGGAGGGGGCGCCTATCATTTACTCAGGTATTCACAAAACAAAAAGATATAGTCAGACCATACATATTTGTGCAGACTGAAATAAAGTGTTAAGTTGTAGCTGACAAAAAAAATAGTTTAAGTACGTTTAGAAATTTAGCATACCTGAATCCATGGCTCAGCTAAGTCCTTATAGGCAGAAGGAATTTGCTGAACCCCATAATGAGTGAGGTTAAAATTACTATCTTGATTCCTCCTTGGTGAACCAGTTACAGGTTGCTGAGTTTGTTGCTGGACCACACAAACAATCGAAGGAGAATCAACAGGACTTGGCAATTCATGACTAAACAAATAATATACAAAAAAAATAAAATAATGAGTAGATATTTTCAAACTTTAAGGAAAATAAAGGATTTAACATGATCTGCATTTTAGTCAATTTGTCACAATTCAATTTCCCAAATAATGTGCAAATAAAACTATGGTTATCTTCAAGATTTAATTCAGCTCAAAAATATGAGCATGTATCTTGTTGTTAAAAACTATATTCAGGTAAAGCAATATTTTATTGTAGCTTGTAAAAACATACCAGCTGATTTGGAATTGGGATGGAAAGGGCTTATACACAGACATTTATAATAAACCAACCTGAATTGAAAATAGACTGATGAGGCTTTTAAAATGTTTAGATGTTTAACTCTGCTCATAAATGGACAGCACAACAAATTCAAATAAAATAAATCCTCACCTATAGAAATCATGTGTTCTCCACTTAGATCTACAAAGAGGGCATATAAGAGGTTCCTTGTTTCTTCTACATTCCTCTGCCCCTAAAATTGCATCAAAATCCCCCAAAGAAAAATAGATGGATTCTCGAGTTAGTGGCATAAGAACATTTTAGAACAGAAGTTATTTGGAAATGTGCAAAGAACTTCTACTGTATAACAAGCAGACATAGGGAAAACTAATTATATACTTAATCAGGTCTAAAGAATAAAATACAATAAAGGCACATATAATAAATGTGGGCATTAGCAGTATCGGATCTTTACAAAAAAATTCAATACGAAAAAGTATGTTTAACAGTTTTATAGGCACTACATAGGCTTTGCACCCGCCCACTTAAATAATGATCTCTTTTGTAACTATTTGTTATTTTAAAAAGATAAATAAAACTCATTATGATTTATATACTTCTACTCTCCCTTGTATTTTAAAACTGTTCCATAAAAATGTTTATTTCATTAAAATGGATTTCTTCTCTAAGACACTAACTTGTATGAAAAGAATTCCATTAATGTTCAAGCAATTATGATACCACTTATGACTGCAACTATTTTTGTTTCTCCACTCCTGGCAAGGACCTTCTTTGCTATTATTCCTTAAATCCATTCTTATGATTCAAGTGCACGTATAATATCAGTGACGTACATATTGACATGCAGTGATGGTGAAGTTTATTTCTGCAGCCTTCTTCACAGACAGTCAAGCTTTCCTCATCCAACATGCCTAGCAAACAAATGGGGCACATCTGTTCCTCTTCATCCTTTATACTATAAAAAATATATACATATAGACAAATAATTAAAAATCAATTTTAGCAGATCTCATTTATTTTTATTTTATTTTTTTTCTTCCAGGTCCAAAACAACCACCACCACCCACAATATTTCAGTACAAAATATATCATTCTGCAAATCGACAAGTATCAATCTTTTGGTGCAGTTTTTTAATTACTCTGCATAACCTTGCCAATCCACCTACTGTACGTTCTCATATTTTTTCCTGTAGGACTGTAGGATCTATTAAGTACATATTTTGGTGCTTAGCAATTGCTGCTTTTCATGGTCATATGAACACAATTTGTAATGGATTTTGGTGTTTTTCAACAGAAAACACCAAAAATATGCTGTGTGGTGACTTGCTTTATGACTGTGGTAGAAATAGTTGTAAAATCAAATCAGATTAATGATTGCTCCAATTTACAACCAAAATTCTGGGCCCAGTTCTACCTATATTCTCTTCTATTTGATGTACTGTAGCCCAGATTATTTTTTAGCACCCCGGACCACCCCAACGATGCCGCGGAAGTGATGTCCCGGTGCTTGGAGGCCGTGCGAGTCTGGATGGGGAGGAACAGGCTTCGTCTCAACCCGTCCAAGACCGAGTGGCTGTGGTTTCCGGCGTCACGTCATAGCCAGTTGGTTCCATCTCTGGCTATCGGGGGCGAGTCATTAGCCCCCGCGGAGAGGGTTCGCAACCTGGGCGTCCTCCTGGATGCTCGGCTGTCTTTAGACGATCATGTGACGGCCGTGGCCAGAGGGGCTTTTCATCAGGCTCGCCTGATACGCCAGTTGCGCCCCTTTCTGGATTGGGACGCCCTACGCACAGTCACTCAAACCCTCGTTGTTTCCCGCCTGGACTATTGCAATGCTCTCTACATGGGGCTCCCCTTGAGGTGCACCCGGAGGCTCCAGCTAGTTCAGAATGCGGCTGCGCGGGGGATTTTGGGGGCCTCTAGATGTTCCCATGTAACACCTTTCCTGCGCGAGCTGCACTGGCTGCTGGTGGCCTTCCGGGTGCGCTTCAAGGTGTTAGTAACAACTTTTAAAGCGCTCCATGGCAATGGACCTAGGTATTTGCAAGACCGCCTCCTACCAAACACCTCCCTTCGGCCAGTCCGCTCCCACAGAGAGGGCCTCCTTAGAGTGCCATCAGCCAGACAATGCCGGCTGGCGACCCCCAGGGGGAGAGCCTTCTCTGTGGCAGCTCCTGCCCTCTGGAATGACCTACCCCCCCGACCTACGTACAGTTGCGGACCTGCGCCTTTTTCGCCGAGCCCTGAAGGCCTATATATTCCGTGCGGCCGGCCTGGCGTAGCTTGATTATGTTTCAGTGGGGGGTTTTTTACGGGTGTGTTTTTAGAACAGGCCCGTTATTTAATTCGATTTTAAAACAAACTATTTATTACCATGGTTTTTAGTATTGCCTGTTCACCGCCCTGAGTCCCGCAAGGGAGATAGGGTGGTATATAAATTTAATAAATAAATAAATAAATAAATAAATAAATAAATAAATAGCATATATAACTATTTCAGATATGTCCTTGAGTGTTACATTCTTTATAGATTTTAGTTCATCACAGACTTTCCACATTAACTTCCTCTAGGAGCCACTCCTCCAGAATGAATATCAATACTGTATATATTTTACTACAGTATAATGCTACATTAAAGATATCTTCAAAATACCAGGGTAAGTGTCAAATTCATTTTATTTACTTAAACATTTAAACCACCCAGCAGTCAAAACTATATGGGCAGTTTACAATAAAGTAAAAAAAGAGAAACAAATACATTTAAAAGAACTTAAGAACTGCCTATTATGTAATACTAAAATATTAATATTATTTAGGAAGAAATAATCTCCCAAATTTAAAATTAAAAGCCTATTAAAGATAGGGAGAGAATGTATTTTAAAACTTGGTTACTACAAACAGATGGAAGTTGTAAAATAGGTATTTTGAAAGTACATGCAGTAAATTCTTTATATTCTGCAAATTCTTTGCATATTAAATGTTTCTGCTATGGGCATATTAACTAATCAAGGAGAGAAGCAACCTAGAACTAAGGAGAAACTTCCTGACAGTTAGAACAATTAACCAGTGGAATAACCTGCCTCCAGAAGTTGTGAATGCTCCAAGAACTGTGAATGCTTAAGTTGTGAATGCTTAAGAACTGGAAGTTCTTAAGAAGAGACTGGACAGCCATTTGTCCGAAATGGTATAGGGTTTCCTGCCTGAGCAGGCGGTTGGACTAGATGACCTGCAAGGTCCCTTCCAACTTT